AATCAAACTTTTTGAGAGAGCTATGGATTCACATGCTTTTAAGAGGTAGAGAGGCCCTGTGTGCCCTTTACCTTGTTTTTACCACTGGTAACATTTTGCAAAACGACACTATAATATTACAAGCAGATATTGACACGACACAGTTGGATACAGAACATTTCCATTGTTCCCTTTCATGGCCACACCCACTTCCCACCACTTCCAGCCCTTCCTCAATCCCCTGGCAACCACTGAACTATTACCCCCCCATTTCTGTAATTTTGCCATCTCCAGAACGTTATAAATGGAATCCTACTGAGGGCCACCTTTAGGGATTGGCTTTCTTCCCTAAAGCCTAGTTCTCCGGAGATTCGCCCCGATTGTTACAAGAAGCAGTAGTTTGTTCCTTATCACTGCTGAGTAGTAGTAATCCGTGACAGGACATACCACAGTTTGTTTAACCCTTTATGTGTTGAAGAAGGACAGCGGGGTTGTTTCTAGTTGGATTATGAATAAAACTGCTACAGACATGCATGTACGTAATGTGTGAGAATAAATTTGTATTTCTCTGGGATAAATGCCTAAGAGAGTAATTGCTAGGTAGTATGGTAGTTGCATGTTTCGTCTTTTAAGAAACTGCCAGGGGCGCCTGGGTGGCTCAGAGGGTTAAAGCCTCTGCCTTGAGCTCGGGTCATGATCCCAGGGTCCTGGGATGGAGCCCTGTATCGGGCTTTCTGGTCAGCGGGGAGCCTGCTTCCTCCTCTCTCTCTGCCTGCCTCTCTGCCTGCTTGTGATCTCTGTCTGTCCAATGAATAAATAAAATCTTAAAAAAAAAAAAAAACTTCCAAACTGTTTTACAGAGTGGCTGTACCGTTTTATATTATCACAAGCAATGCACAGGTGATCTCCTTTCCCCATGTGTGTGCCAGATTTGGGGGTTCTGGATTTATCGTTTGTTTTTTCTCTCACACTAGAAAAATGTATTGCCCCTTCTCCTAGTTTTTATGGCTTCTAATGAGAAATCTATTGTGATTCATTTTTTAACTCTATAGCTGTCTTTTTTTTGTTGTTGTTGTTGGCTGCTTTCAAGTATTTTTTTCTTTGCTTTTAGTTTTTGGTAGTTTAATTATGATGTGTCTTGCTGTAGATTTTTTTTTCTTTTAAATTTATTTATATTGCTTGGGATTCATTCAGCTCCTTGCATCTGTCAGTTTGCTTCTTTACAAATTTGGAGAGTTTTCAGCCATTCCTTCTTTGACTACTTTTATAGCCTTCCCTCTTTGTCTTCTCCTGAGAGTTTGATGACTTGAATGCTGTGTCATTTGTTAGAGTGTCATAGGCTCCTATGGCTCAACACGTTCATTTCTTCCATCTTTTCCCACTCTGCTATTCAGATTTGGTAAATCCTATCATTCTATCTAAAAATCCTCTGACTCTCCCTATCTCTGGCCCTTCTATTTTACTGCTGAGCTCATCAAGGGAGCTTTTTATTTTGGCTTTTATATTTTTTCAGTTCTAAAATTTTCATTAGATTTTTTTGTCTTCTGTTTATTCTTCTTGTGTGACTTTATAAATTTTTTTTGTTTTTTTTTGTTGAGATTTCCCATTTTTTTCATTTATTTCAAGAATGTTCATAATTTTTGAAGCATTTTTGTGATGGCTTCTTTTAATTTTTCCTATAATTCTAATATCTTTGTCATCTTGGTATTGGCATCTGTTTATTGTCTTTTTTCATTCAGTTTTTTTTTTTTTTAATTCTGGTTCTTAAAATAAGAAATGATTTTTGCCTGAAACCTGTACATTTTGTGACACTCTAAGACTTGGGATCCTATTTAAATTTTGTTTTAGCTGATTTCCTTTGACACCATTCCAGTGGTGGTGGGGGAGAAAGTGGGGAGGGGCACTGCTTTGTTTCTGCCTGGTGGGACCTAAAAGTCCACATTCCCCATGTGCTCCCCACCGCTACCTAAGGAAGGGGTTGCTCGCACTTGCTGGGCGGGTATGGGAGTTCAAGCCCTCATTGGCTTGCTGGAACACTTTGCTGAGGGTGGCCTCCTTACCGATGGGCTGTAGAAGTCCTGACTCTCCAGTTGGCCTTCGCTGATACCTCTCGAGCAGGGAGGTGGTATTGTGGGGACCACTGTCTATTGGTAGATGTCCGGATTCCCTGTGTGGTCTTCCCTAACACTGTGGAGAGGAGGGGGATTGGTAACTGCCTTGCAGGGATGAAAAGAGGAAGATTCCCAGCTCTCTGCATGGACATATCTCCCTGCTGAGCACAGAGCCCTATGCTGGGCTCAATCTCATGACCCTGAGGTCATGACCTGGGCTGAAATCAAGAGCTGGTTGCTGAACCGACTGAGCCCCCCAAGTGCCCCCAAGCTGCCCTTCTCTCAGTCCTTTAGTTAGAGAGACTGCTTTGGGGGAGCTTTTTGGTTCTGTGCCCATCGGTGTTTATGGATTGTTGGTTTTTCGCTTCCAGGTCTGGAATACATGAAGAGGGCATGAGAGGTGATCTGTGGAGTTACCACCTTGTCCTGCCTCGGGTTTTGAGGTCCTTGGCTGGTCTTTTCTCTTCTCTATTCCTTTCAGAATCTCCTTGTCTTTGCACATAATGTCCAAGAATTTTAGTTCTACTTGGTGGAAGAAGTAGGGAAGTGTATGCCTACTCCGTTTTCCTGGAAACAGAAATCTGTGTACCACTTTTGAAATAAAAGAATAATTTTAAAACAATTAAGTATTGCATTTTTTGGAAAGGGCTCTTTTGTGAATTGTTGGTGAAATATGGTTTCTATGTCTACTGAAGTTTTCTTATTCTTTTTCTGACCCATGGGCTGTGCATGTATAGTGTGTGCACACAAGTTAATTCCTGGGGGAAAACTAGAATCTGAATACTTTTAAACAGAAACAGCTATAACAGCACAAAATGCAACAAAAAAGAGATCATGATCTCTGCCTTGTATTCTGTGGCATTGCCATTACCAAAAGCCTTCAGCTGTTAGTATATTAATAATAAGGTCAGGAGGAAGGCTCAAGAAGTCAGCCAGGAAGCTAATAGGATCATGTTTTGGCAGGTGCCTCACTCAGAATGAGGGATACAGAAGAAAGATGTTTCATTTCTGCATGACTTTTTCTTTGCCACCTCTCTCAGAGGTGGATTCTTGATCTAATGACTCTAAATAGTCTTGTGTGTCTGGCTTAATTAATTTCACTCTGCTCTTTGGGAAACTCGTCTCATAATCTATGTGAATAGCTTAAGTTCTTGAGGATACACACTCGGCATACATCGTACCTAACTAAGATTTACCTTCTTCTCAAAGCACTGGAGAAGTCTTTGATCTTATGAAGTTACTCTGCTTTGATCTGGGGGGTGTTTTTCGTTTATGAGTTCCCAGTTCATGGAAGAGACAAGAGAACGGGTATCTCACAGTCCATTCTTAGGGCAACTACATGTGCTAGGAAGGGAGCAGAGAGTTTTAATTTAATTTAATTGAACTAGTAACTAATGAAACAGTTTTAAAGCTGACAAATTTGGTATTTATTTTGCCTGATGGCTAGTATCTTAAACGGAGTGATTAAGGGATGCTTAGGTGACTCAGTGGGTTAAGCCTCTGCCTTTGGCTCAGGTCATGATCTCAGGGTCCTGTGATGGAGCCCCATACCCGGTTCTCTGCTAGGTGGGGAGCCTGCTTCCCCCCCTTCGCTGCCTGTCTCTCTGCCTACTTGTGCTCTCTCTCTGTCAAATAAATAAATAAAATCTTTAAAAAAATAAACTGAGTGATTAAGACAACGGGAAGATCCACTTCTAACAGCAAAGAAATGAGGACCGAGTGCCCGTGTAAGATGCCAGGTGTAGTGAACCGAATCTGAGAAGATCTCCTCATGGCTGGGTTTAAAGCTCGTTTTTAAATCTGAATTGTAAATCTTTTGATCTTCACAGTCATCCAGTGTTTTTAGTTATAATTTAACTTCCCTAATGTAATTGAGCATCAGTATTTTGGTTAGATTTCAAATGGAATCCTCAGTTGAGTATGGACACTTCATCATTATGACCAAATACGCCTGGAGCTGAAACTTTTGCATATGAGGGGGATACAGAATTCACGAACTAGTTGTCATTCATCACCCATACACGTAGGGTTTGTCAGGTTTCCTTGCCTCGCCTGTCTTTGTTTGCTTGAAAGACTCAATAAAAATCGTTATGTAACAAAGAAAAATCCCTTCTGTTACTCATTTTGGAGTATAATACAGAAAATTATCCATATAAGAAGCAGCCTGACTTGCTGGCATTGGGTTTGTCACTTGAGCCGGCTTCTGATTTGAAGTTTGTATTTGAAGAAAAATGTTTTGGCTTCCACTGAATTCATGGGTCTCTCCTGACCAGCACTCAAACTTGTTTCAGATGGCTGTGTATCTGTCGGAGGTGTTCCAACCAGAGCTTCCACAGTGAATTCTGTGTAGGCCCATGGCCCGTGTCTTATTGCCACATCTCTAAAGTCTCATTCCAGATCACCAAATATTGTGCAAAAACATCTAACTACTTTGTGTGAGTCAGTGGCAGACAATTTCAGATAAGTTAATCAGCCTGATGAAGGACATTGTATACAGATTTACATTTCTAGAAAGAGGTTCAGTCAATATCTCTAAATAATGAATGTTTTAATAAAATGAGTGGTCTAATCATTTTTTAGTCCCATTGCATGCATGTTATCCTCTGTGCCAAATATTAACGCCTGTTATGTTACATACGCACCCGAAGTGAGAGTATACATTTATGTGATGGGCACATCAATGTTACAGAATTTTAAAAATTCTCTTATTAGACTTATTAGGTATCATATTTCCACATTTAACATCTTTTAAACATACAGACTGAAATACGATCACCATATTTTTTCTAGATCAAAAAATAAAGCAGAAAAAGAAATATTACGTGTAGTTATTTTCATGAAAAAACAATCCACAAATGAGGAAAAATAGTTACAGAATAAAGAATTCCTACAAAGCAATTAAATAGGGAATCCAGTGGAAAATGGGCAAAACACTTGACGGGCACTTCTCAAGAGAAGACACTGAAACGGTGTACAAATGTATGGATGGTGCCCAGTTTCAGGGCCATCAGGAAAGTGCAAGTTAAAACCACGTACCCAGAAGAGTGCACAAAATAAAAAAGAGGGAACATACTAAGTGCTGATAAAAGCAGAGAGTGACCAGAGAACGCTTACCCACTTCCGGCGGCAGTCCATATGCATAAGCCACTTTGGAAGTCCCGTTGGTACTATCTGCTAAGGAGGGAAATGTCCAGCCCTTAAGACCCAGAATTTCCAGTTCTAGGTAATGCCTGTCGGGTGCAGTCACATACAGTGACCAAAAGGTGCACAAGGCTACTCGTAAGAACCCCAAACTGGAAAATACCCACTGGCACATCAGTAGTGAAAGAATGCATGTGGGTATTTCCACACGATGGAATGTTTTATAGCAAAGACCATCAGCAAATCACAACTACATGTGACAATATGGGCATACGTCACAAAGGATGCTGAGCAAAAGCAAAAAAAAAAAGAAATTAAAAATGTGTGATTCTATTCATGTGGAGTTTGTGAATACACAGAAACAGCTCATGATGTCTGAAGTCAGGTCAGTGGTTATTCTCGGGAGGCTGACGACTGGAGGGACGGGCCATGGGGGGCGTCTGGGAAGCTGGTAACGTTGTCTTTCTTGATGTTGCTTACATGGAAACGTTCACTTTGGACGATTCATGGAGAGTGCATTTATGATATGTGCGCTTTTAAAAGCTGTGTTGTATTTTAATAAAGTTTTAAAGGTAGTTTCAGGCCCGGACCTGGGTGATAACATTACATAAAGTGGACTGGGGCCCAGGCTGAAGTCAGTGTTCAGTTGTTTCTCCCGGGTGCTAGTTGTTAATCTTGATCTTGGCATGCAAGGTCACCACTCTGCATGAGAAAAATGAAGGTATTTGGGTTTTTCTCTTTGCTAATTATCCATATACTTTACAAAATATCAGTGTTGGTCATTTGGAGCCAAACTATTTGTTGGCTTTTAAAGATACAATTTGTTTGGTTTTTTTTAGTAGGCTACATGACCAATGTGGGGCTTGAACTCCCTACCCTGAGATCAAGAGTTACATGTTCTACCGACAGAGTCAGCCAGGCGTCCCTAAAGATATAACATTTTATATGCTATGATAAAAAACAAACAACGTTTTATACAACAGCAGGAGGTATCATAATGAAAGAAACCCTGAAGGAGAAGGCAAGGGACCCAGTTCTAGTTACTACTTGCCCTCTCCCAGTTGGGTGACTGGGGGCTTGTTGGAGTCTCAGTTCCTATTCTTTGGGTTAATGCTTTACCTGCCTGAAGGCAGAGAGGTAAACTCTGTGATCTCTTCCTCTCTAACTCTGAGATTCAAGATCTGCTATCTCCCCTCCAGGAAGAACTCTTAAAGTGACAGATGACGTAGCTATCCTTGCTACCATTGATTTCCAGTGTTTGTTCTGCTGGCATGTTCAATTGCCAACGGGGCTCCAAACTCATGAGTGTTTCAAGGTGTATGGCACAGTACAGTCTTCATGCCCTAGATCATAAAAGCATCTCACCTTCTCTTCGTCTCTACGCTGTTCTCTTGGTTTTCTTGGGATCGGTTGTTCTGCAGTGAGGAGGGATTTTAGAAAATGTTCCATATTGGTGAAGAGGAGAAGATCCGTGTTTCTCTTAATATACTGTGGAGAGCATGGAGGAAACAGTTAATACCTTTGCTCCCATTTCTTTTAAGTATTCCTGGATCTTCCTAGACTGGACCTGAGCATAGTACATAGAATTCTGTCTTTAAAATCAAAGCAAGACCTCTCCACAGATGGTGGCTGACAGAGGACCAGCATTCCAGCTCCACAGTTGCCTCTGTCTTACACAAGCTTTTAAAACTTCCAAGCGTCAGTTTTTTCATCTGTAAGTTAGGAATAAAAGTAGCATCTAGCTTATAAGTGCCTAGAGAAGATTAAATGAGATGATGCATGTAAAAGTCTCAGCAGGATGGCTGGCACATGGCAAGCACGTGATAAACGTTTGCTCTGACCTGCTTTGTAGTTCCCTCTGGGAGACTGGAATATTTCAGTATATAATAACGTCTGGGTCCACACACACCGGTTCATTAATGTGGTAAATGCACTGAGAGCCTACTGATGAGCCTGGCCTGGGGGCTACCAGAGGAAACAGAACAGACAAACATCTCTGTCCTCATGGAGCTGATGTTCTATTAGGGGAGGGAAAGTAACACACAAGCGTGAGTGAGTTACACAGTAGGTTAGAAAGTCCTACGGGAGACAGAAAAGTAATGCAGAGTAAGGAAAAGCTGATGAACAGGAGAAAAGAGGGTTGCGAATGAGATGGCCTAGTCCGGGCAGGCCTCAGGGAGGAGGTGACACTTGGACAAAGACATGGAGGAGGTAAGGGAGCTGGACATACTCTAAACTTGTTAGACTAGGGTTTCTCAACCTCAGCACCACTGACATTCTGGGGTGGAGAGTATTTTGTTGTGGGGGCCGCCCAGGCATTGTAGGCTGTGCAGTGCCATCTGGCTTCTAACCATTGGTTAACAGCAGCAGCCCCCTCCTTGGAGCAGGACGGTCAAAAATGTCTGCAGACATTGCCTCGTGTCCTGTGGGAGTGAAAATTGCTCCTGGTTGAGAACCATTGCCATTGCAGGCAGAGGGGAGAGCTCCGAGTGTGTCTGAAGACCAGCAAGGAGGAAAACGTGGTTGGGGGCGAGTGACCGAGGGGAAGAGTGGCTCGTGAGGGGGTAGGAGACAAGGGGCCTTGGCTTCCTTGGCTTTGACCCTAAGGGACATGAGGAGCCACAGCATGATTTTGAGTTTTTCACTGGAAGAGGATCACTGTGACCAGCGTGCAGAGAACAGACCGAGGAGAGGCAAGGTCGGAATCGGGAGCCAGTTAGTAAGTGTTGCAGGAACCAGGCGAGGCGATGTGTGCTCGCACCAGGCTGCTGGCACGGTCAGCCATGAGACGTGGTTGTATTATGGAACTTCTCTGAAAGGAGAGCAGCAGGGCTTCCCGATGGGCTGGTTATGGGGTGTTTGCAACAGGCTTCAAAGATGACTTTGGCTTAAAAGACCAGAAGAGTACAGTTGCCATCCATTGAAATGGGAAAGTTTTCGAGCAGAGGAGGTTTGGACAGATGGGTTTGGGGTGTGTTGAGTTTGTGATGCTTCTTATACCTACGAGTGGAGGTGGCTGGTAAGCACGTGAGGACATGGGTTCAGTTAGAGGGCTGGGTGGGGCTGGAGATAAAAATTTGAGGGTCCCTGACGTACGGATAGGGTTTAAGCTAGAAGATGGGACGAGATGCCCAAGGGGAGCAGATATAGCCAGAGAAGAGACGAGGACAAGACTGAACCCTGGCCCTCCTACATGAAGAGGCCCGGGAGAAAAGACAGATCAGCACAGGAAACTGAGAAGGAACAGCCACACAGGTAGGAGGGAACCCGAGGACGCTGGTGTCCTGGGAGCCAAGTAAAGACTGAACCGAGCAGGAGGAAGTGAGCGGATGTGTCCAATGCTGCTGTCAGAGGAGAAGAAGGGACTGTGCGTCCTCTGGGGTCCATGGGAGCTGGGGTACGACTGATTCTGGAATCTGGATGACCACCATAGCCATCACTGTCAGCGACTGTGAAATAAACTTCCCACTCGGTAACTAGCGGAGATGTGGTCACAGACAGGTGTTTACAGACATTTCCTTGGGAGATCTAGAATCTGATCTCAGATCTGCCATGACAAATAGCTTCATGATTTGGGGCAGATAGCTTATTTTCTCCTTAAATACAAAATGTGACAAAAAATATGTACGCTACCAAAAAAAAGATGCATCCTCCCCATTCTCCAGGATCCCTGGTTGGAACGAATGAGACCATATAAACATAAAAGTGCTTTGAAATGTATAAAGTCTTATATAACTCATGGGAGAGAAGGTGTTCTTGTTTGTAACTCAGGAATGAATTGATCTTTAATGGACGAGGACAATTTTAAGATCACAGACACTTTTAATAGTTAAAAAGCTGGATGATAGTATTCTCATAAAGGCGCTTTAAATAACACAATATTAAGAATATCCTTGTCAGGCTTGCACAGGAAACAACACACTGCAGTTCAGTAAACAGGCTGCTACCAGGGCATCTAAATTTAATTACTGAGTCACCGTGAATTTTATAGATGGCATTCTGCATGTTGATAATATGTTAGTGGGGCATGAGTTAAAAAAACTAGGGAGCCCCATTTGTAATCCCCATAACTCAGAGAGCTGGGTCCCCACTGTCTGCCTTGTAGAATACAGGATTGAAGAACATATTGTCATGTGCAGTTTGAGAAGCAGGCTGAGTGTCAGGGCAGCGTACCTCCTGGGGAGGCCAGGAATATCTGTGAAGACGTCAATTTTTAACTGACACACGCTACACCGTTAAGATTAGTTACCTCTTCTGATGACTCTGGCTCCAAGTGAGACTCACACTTCCTTTCAAGGAGCGTAGAGAGCAGATCTCTTCCTCTTTCAGAGATGGGCTGCTCGTCTAACAGAGCAGCGCTCATGCTTTGGCCAAGCTTACTGTCCCAGGAGACAGCGGACATTCGCAGTGTGGTAGAGAATGCTTCCCTGAAATAAGCCCGTAGGCCCTGGTCAAAGAAACGGTGAGGGGGCCACATCAGTTCCGTTCTAGGTAACTGCTATTAAAGCTTCAAAATTACAGTTGAAAGAAAAATGGGGCTCGGTATGGATCCTCTTTCCTTGCCCTTAGCACGGGTTAGGACAGTCATTCCCAATTCTGGTGAGCCTTATGCAACGACAAGGAAGTATTGGGATGCCATTCTCCTAGGAAGACCACTTCTCTCTGAATTCCTACAGAGTGCTGCGTGCATTTTGTTATATGCTGCCACAGGAAATTCGATCAGGAAAACCTTCTTCCTGGCCAGGGAGTAGGAACCAGAGGCCAACAATGGGACCTAAGGAGGTTTGAAATGTTGCACGGCTTAAAGAATTGGTTATTCTGGGAAAGAAGCTAAGAGCCCTGTGCATTTTATAAATACCTTGTAAAATGACCTCAGAAAGGCAGGGTTTGTGTCCTGGCGGAAGTCCTCAGTGGCGACGTGGGCCAAGCAATGGATCAGCAGCAGAATGAAACTTCCCACAGACGCCAGAGACTCTCTCCCAACAAACAGTGTGTTTCCAGTGCTCTAGGTAGAGGAGGTACCCAAACACAGAGATGGCAACCTCAGGGAAAGTTTCCACTACCTCTTTCTCTTCCTAGTTTTATGTGGTCTAAAATAATTTTGGAATCATAAAGTCAGAGACTCCCCGGGGCTAATGGAAATTTACTGAAGGAAAGATTCAGATGTAGAGGGAAAAACTATTGCTTTAGTTCAACTCCCTGAATAAATCATGTTCCCCACTGTCTCTCCAGCTTTTGCTACCCCCGTGGTACAGAAAATAAACTACTAGAAATTCAGAGCGAAGTTACTCATGCAACTGTTTTTTAATCGATGTCCTCCGATCACTCTTTCCTTAATTAGTGGTTCTCAAACTGTATCTGTGGATAAACATCACAAGGGAGTGATTCTGTTCCTGGGGGCCATCCCAGAATGTCCAGTTCTATGGGCTGGTTTAGGGGAGTCCTTGGTATTTCCACTTTTACCAATCTTCCCAGGTGGTTGACCCATGAGGTCCGAGGACCACAGTTTGAGAATCAGTGCCTTATAGGGCTCTCTGACTTTCTTTGTCTTTCATGTCTTTATTGGAATCATGTTCTCCAATATTGTCTTGTCTAATGGATTTGAAATAACTCCCTTGTTCAGGTAATAGGTTGGAATGGAAAATATTAGTTAATTTGGAGTCAGGTCGTCTGAGATCTGTCCCTGGAATGAACTCTGGGTGGCGACACAGGACAGTGGTTAAAAAATGAGGTTGGTGTTCAAATACATCTTAACTTGAGTTTAAACTCTTGCTAACGCTGTGATCTTGGGAAAGTCACTTGACCTCAATGGGACTCCATCTCCTAAGAGCACCCACCCCTAGGGTTGGGGTGCTGTAAGCTGTGAATGACATAAGGCGTGGCACACGGCCAAGTGCCTGACACACAGTACTCAATGGATCCTGAGTTGGTATTCCTGTAGGTAAAATGGGAGTAAATTCCTGCCTACTTCATAGATTGCTTTGAGGATCAAGTGAAAGGATGCCTGGAGGGTAGAACATATGAGTAATTTTTGGTGTTATGAAATCCCTTAATAACCAACTCGTCAAGTGTGAACTGTTTCCTAGCCCTCCAGCATTGGTTAGCCATGCCCCTCTCAAATCACAGTTTACCAATGAACTGTTCACAGAGTTTAAGGTCTGTGTCCACCGGCTTTGGGCTGCCACCAAGGCCCTGCTAATCCTACCTATTCGAGGAACTGCAAGAATAGGAACAATTCCAATCCCTTTCTGCAGAAAGATGCTGATGGTGTAGGATTTGCTGACGCTGGGACCAAGACTCTTTTATGGGAAACACCAGTCTGGAACCATCGACTCTGATGACAGAGATTCATTAACGGGCACAAAGCCATCATGATTCTCTGGGCCAGGACGTATTCATTTCACTAATTGGAGAAAGCTTTTACATGGTGACATTTATTATGTCTTACTAAATTATTACCGAGGGGGATAAAGAATGTCAGGACTTGAGAGAGAAAAATGTTTTATAACATTTGGTGTTTTTGCTTATTTTTAGATCCTAGAATTTTGCAAACCCTCCTCTGGGACCAAATTTGCAGCACCTGATAGAAGAAGGAGCCTTGGAAGGCATTCTCTGAGGCATCCATCGCTGGAAGATGAGAGGCAATCTGCAGGGTGATTTCAGGAGCCTGAAAAGAATAAGAAACAAATAAAACCCAAAATGAAACCCATTGTCTTGCTCAACAGTTTTCATGTGGCTCAGCTGTAGATACACACAACATACATAGGAGACACCACTGGCACATCTGGTCTGGTAAACAGGGACAATGTACTGCAGGGCCCTACTGGGCCTCTTCTTCATATGGCTGCCACTTCTTTTTTTTTTTTCCCCAGTAATATCTTAAGATATAATTTCTTTTTTTTTCCCCAAGTGTTTATTTAAATTCCAGTTAGTTAATGTACAGTGTAATATTAGTTTCCGGTGTATAATTTAGTGATTCATCATTTACATACAACACCCGGTGCCCATCATAAGTGCCCTCCTTAATGCCCATCACCTATTTCACCCGTCCCCTGCCCATCTCCCCTCCAAAAACCGTCAGTTTGTTCTCCATAGTTAAGACTCTGTTTCTTGGTTTGCCTCTCTTTTTCCCCCATGTTCATTTGTTTTGTTTCTTAAGTTCTACATGTGAGTGAAATCTTATGTATTTGTCTTTCTCTAACTTATTCTGCTCAGCATAATACTCTCTAGCTCTATCACATCATTGCAAATGGCAAGATTTCATCCTTTTTCATGGCTTAGTAATATTCCATTGTGTGTGTGTGTGTGTGTGTGTGTGTGTGTGTGTGTGTGTTTATGTGTATATGGTGTGTGTGTATATGTATACACACATATCTATATATGTATTGATTCATCAGTTGATGGACAGATGGGCTCTTTCCATAATTTGGCTCTTGTTGATAGTGCTGCTATAAACACTGGTGTGTTGGTATCTCTTCAAATTAGTATGTTTGCATACTTTGGGTAAATACCTAGTGGTGCAATTGCTGGATCCTAGGTTAGTTCTATTTTTAACTTTTTAAGGACCCTCCATACTGTTTTCTAGAATGGCTGCTCCAGTTTGTGTTCCCTCCAACACTACACAAGGGTTCCCCTTTCTCCACATCCTCACCAACACCTGTTGTTTCCTGTGTTGTTAATATTAACCATTCTTTCAGGCATGAGACCATATCTCATTGTGATTTTGATTTGCATTTCATTTGATGAGTGATGTGGAGCATCTTTTCATGTGTCTGTTGGCCATCTGGATGTTATCTTTGGAGAAATGACTGTTCATGTCTTCTGCCCATTTTTAACTGGGTTATTTGTTTTTTCGGTATTGAGTTTTAAATAAGTTCTCTATATATTTTAGATACTAAACCTTTACCAGATATGTCATTTGCAAATAATTTCTCCTATTCCATAGGTTGCCTTTTAGCTTTGTTGATGGTTCCTTCACTGTGAAGAAGCTTTTTATTTTGATGAAATCCCAATAGTTTATTTTTGCTTTTGTTCCCCTTGCTGCTGAAGACATATCTAGTAAGATGCTGCTATGGCTGATGTCAGAGAGGTTACTGCCTGTGTTCTCCTCTAGGATTTTGATGGTTTCCTGTCTCATATTTAGGTCTTTCATTCATTTTGAATTTGTTTCTGTGAATGGTGTAAGAAAGTGGTCCAGCTTCATTCTTTTGCATAATGCTGCCCAGTTTTTCCAACACCATTTGTTGAAGAGACTGTCCTTTTTTCACTGGATATTCTTTCCTGGTTTGTCAAAGGTTAATTGGCTATATAGTTGTGGATTAATTTCTCAGTTTTCTTTTCTGTTCTATTGATCTATGCATCTTTTTTTGTGCTGGTACCATCCTGTCTTGATCACTAAGCTTTGTAATACAACTTGAAGTCTGGAATTGTGATATCTCCAGCTTTGCTTTTCTTTTTCAAGGTTGCTTTGGCTTTTTTGGTCCCATACAAATTTTAGGATTGCTTGTTCTAGCTCTGTGAAAAATGCTGGTGGTATTATGATAGGGATCGCTTTAATTGATGGCCACTACTTTCAAGAACAGGAGACTTAGCTGACTTTCTTAATACATAGAAACAAAGAGTTGGACAAAATGAGGAGACAGAGGAATATGTCCCAAATGAAAGAATAGGACAAAGTCACAGCAAAGAGCTCAGTGAAATGAAGATAAGCAATATCCCTGATAAAGAATTTAAAGTAATGATCATAAAGATACTTACTGGTCTTGAGAAAGAAGGGGATGATCTCAGCAAGATCTTCAACAAAGAGATAGAAAATATATAAAAAAAGAACTAATCAGAGATGAAGAGCTCAATAGCTAAAATTAAAAACACACTGGAGGGAATTAACAGCAGATTAGAGGATACAGGCGAACAGAGCAGTGAGCTTGAAGAGAGAGAATAATGGAAAATAACCAAGCTGAATAGGACAAAAAAGAATAATAATAAATGAGAGTAGGTTAAAGGAACTCAGCAACACTATCAAGTGTAGTAACATTCCTATTACCTGGATCCCAGAAGGAAAAGAGAAAGCAGGGAGCAGAAAACTTATTAGAAGAAATAACAGCTGAAAACTTCCCTAATCTGGGGAAGGAAACAGATGTCCAGATTCAGGAGGTACAGAAAGCCCCAACAAAATCAATCTAGGGAGGTCCACACTAAGACATATAATAATTGAAGTGGTAGGAAGTAGTGATAAAGGGAATTTTAAAAGCAGCAAGAGAGGGGTGCCTGGGTGGCTCAGTGGATTAAGCCTCTCCCTTTGGCTCGGGTCATGATCTCAGGGTCCTGGGATCGAGCCCCGCGTCAGGCTCTCTGCTCAGTGGGGAGCCTGCTTCCTCCTCTCTCTCTGCCTGCCTCTTTGCCTACTTGTGATCTCTCTGTCCAATAAATAAATAAAATCTTAAAAAAATAAAAATAAAAGCAGCAAGAGAAAAGAAAATAGTTATGCACAAGGGAAACCTCATAAAGCTACCAACTTATTTTTCAGCACAACTTTGCAGGCCAGAAGACAGTGGCATGATATATTCAAAGTGCTGAAAGGAAAGAAAAAAACTGCAACCAAGAATACTTTATCCAGCAAGGCTATAATTCAGAATAGGAGAGATAAAGAGTTTCCCAGAAAAAAGTAAAAGGAGTTCATCACCACTAAACCAGCCTTATGGGAAACATTAAAGGTAATCCTTTAAGTGTAAAGAAAAGGCTGTATTTAGGTGTAATAGAATTAGGAAAGGAAAAAATTTCACAGGTAAATAGAAACATAATAAAAGTAGATTAATCATTTATAAACCAGGTACAGAAGTTAAATCACAAAGGGACTAAAATCAATTATATCTATAAAAACCAGTCAAGGAATTCACAAAATAAAAGGATGTAAAGTATGGCATAATATAAATAAAATGTTGTGGAGGGGATTAAAATTTTAGTGCTTTTATTTTAATTTTTAAGGATTTTATTTATATATTTGACACAGAGAAAGAGAGAGATCAAAAGTAAGTAGATCAGCAGGCAGAGGGAGATGGAGAAGCAGGGTCCCACTGAGCAGGGAGCCTGATGCAGCTGGATCCAGGACCCTGAGATCATGACCTGAGCTGAAGGCAGATGCTTAACTGATGGAGCCACCCAAGCACCCCCAATTTTAGGTCTTTTTGAATGGGTTCAAACTTAAGTGACCATCAACTTAACATAGATTGCTATACAGATAGGACATTATATATCAACCTAATGGTAACCACAAATCACAAACCTATAATAGGCAAAAAACAAAGAGAAAGAAATCCAAGCATATCACTAAGGAAAACCATCAAACCAAAGGGAAGAGAGTAAAAGAAGAAAGGAATGGAGAACTACAAAACAATCATAAAGACACATAACAAAATGGCAAAAGTACATACTTATCAATAATCACTTTGTTTAGAGGTCCTAGCAGGGGAATGCAGCTACTTGTACACCCACAATAATTACTTTGAATATAAATGGACTAACTGCACCAGTCAAGACATGGGCTGACTGAATGGATAAAAAAGCGAGACCCAGCTATATGCTGCCTATGAGAGATTCATTTTGACCTAAAAATACAGATTGAAAGTGAAGGTATGGAAAAACATTTTTCATGCAAATGGAAGTGAAAAGAAAACTGAAGTATCAATCATTGGCAAAATAGACTTTAAAACAAAAACTGTAACAAGAGACGAAGAAGAGTACTACCTAATGATAGAAGGAACAATTCAACAAGGAGATGTAACAATTGTAAATATTTATGCACCCAACATGGGAGGACCCACATATATAAAGCAACAATTAACAGACATAAAGGAAGAAATCAATAATAGTAGGGACTTTACCACCCCACTTACATCAGTGAGTAGATCATCTAGCCAAAATATCAATAAGGAAACGGTAGCTTTGAACGACACATTGGACCAGATAGATCGAACAGATACATTCAGAACATTTTATCCACAAACAGAGTACCCATTCTTTTCACATGCAAATGGAACATTCTCCAGAACAGATCACATGTTAAGACACAAAACAAGTCTCAACAAATTAAAAAAGACAGAAATCATATCATGAATATTTTCTAACTACAAGGGTATGAAACTAGAAATCAATCTCAAGAAAAAATCCAGAAAGAACACAAATACATGAAGGTTAAATAACATGTTGCTAAACAATAAATGGGTCAACCAACACATCAAAAAAGAAATAAAAAAATACATATGGAGACAAATGAAAATGAAAACACAATAGGCCCAAATCTTTGGGATGCTGCAATAGTAGTTGTAAGATGGAGAATTACAGCAATATAGGCCTAATCCAAGAAGCAAGAAGAATCTCAAATAAACAACCTAACCTTACAACAAAAGGAGCCTGAAAAAGAAGAACATACAAAGCCCAAAGCCAGTAAAAGTAAAGAAATAATATTAGAGTAGAAGTAAATAAAATAAGGACTTAAAATTAGAACAAATTAGAAAATTTTCAAAATTGATAAACCTTCAGCCACACTCATAAAGACAGAGAGAGAGGGAGAGGACTCGAATAAATAAAATCAGAAATAAATGAGAAGAAATAACAACTAACACCATAGAAATATAAAACATTATAAGAGAATATTATGAAAAATTATATGCCCACAAATTGGACAACCTAAAAGAAATGGGTAAATTCCTAGAAACATATAACCTTCTAAAACTGCAATTAGGAAGAATTAGAAAATTTTGACAGACAAATTACTAGCAATAAAACTGAATCAGTAATTGAAAAAAAAAACAACAACAAATCTCCCAAAAAACAAAAATCCAGGACCAGATGGCTTCCCAGGTGAATTCTAACAAACATTTAAAGAACTGTTAATACCTATTCTCAAGCTACCCCAAAAGACAGAAGAGGAAGGAAAGCTTCCACATTCATTCTATGAGGCCAGCATTATCCTGATTCTTATACCAGATAAAGACACTACAACAACCAACCCCCCATTTAACTCTATGCCAATATCTCTGATGAACATAGATGCAAAAATCCTCAACAAAATATTAGCAAACTGAATCCAACAATACATTAAAAAAAAATCACTCATCATGATCAAGTGGGATTTATTCCAGGGGTGCAAATGTCGTTCAATATTCACAAATCAATCAACATGATACCTCATATTAACAAGGGAAAGAATAAAACCATACGATCATCTCAACAGATGCAGAAAAAGCACTTGGCAAAATACAACATCCATTCATGATAAAAATCTTTAACAAAATAGTAGAGACCATACATGAAAAACCCACAGCTAACACTGTTATATGGTGTTAAAACTGGGAGCTTTTCCTGTAAGATAGGGAATTAGACACGGATGTCCACTCTCACCGCTTTTATTCAACATAGCACTGGAAACACTAGCCACAGCAATCAGACAAGAAAAAGATGTATAATCCCATTTTGTAGAGAAGAATTTTGTAAAACTTTCACTATTTGTAGATGCCAAGATGCTATATATGGAAAACCCTAAAGACTCCACCAAAAAACTACTAGAACTGATAAATGAATTCAGTAAAGTCACAGGATGCAAAGTTAACATACAGTGTTGCACTTCTATAATGAATAATGAAGTAGCAGAAAGAGAAATTAAGGAAACAGTCCCATTTATAATTGCACCAAAAATAGTAAAATGCCCAGGAATAAATTTAACTGTGGAGGTGAAAGACCTGAACTCTTAAAACTATAAAACACTGATGAAAGAAGGGATGCCTGGGTGGCTCAGTTGGTTAAGCATCTGCCTTTGGCTCGGGTCATGATTCCAGGATCCTGGGATTGAGTCCCGCATCAGGCTCCCTGCTCATCCAGGAGCCTGCTTCTCCCTCAGCCTGCCACTCCCACTGCTTGTGCTCTCTCTCTCTCTCTCACCCTGAAAAATAAATAAATAAAGTCTTCACTACACTGATGAATGAAATTGAAGATGACAAACAAATGGAAGGATATTCCATGCTCATGGACTGGAAGAACCAATATTGTTAAAATGTTCATATTTCCCAAAGCAATATACAGATTTAGTGTAATCCCTGTGAGAATACCAATAGTATTTTTTTTTAAAGATTATTTATTTACTTGAGAGAGAGAGAATGAGAAAGAGAGAGAGCGTGAGAGGGGAGAAGTCAGAGGGAGAGACAGACGACTGGATGAAAGAGACATGGCATACATATATACATAGATATACACAATGGAATATTAATCAGTCATAAAAAGAAGAATGAAATCTTGCCATCTGTGATAACATGAAAGGACCTAGAGGGTATTAGGCTAAGTGAAATAACTCAGGCAAAGAAGGACAAATACCATGATTTCACTCATATGTGGAATTTAAGAAACAAAATGAACAAAGGAGAGACAAACAAAACAAAGAACAAACACAATTGTCAGAGGGAAGGAGAGAGGGAGAAACAGGTGAAGGGGACTGACAGTACACTTGTCATGATGAGCACTGAGTAATGTATAGAATTGTTGAATCAGATTGTACACCTGAAACTAATAGAATGCTGTGTTGATTATACTTGAATAAAAAATGAGAAAAATAATAGTATCTATGGCATAGGGTTTTTGTGAAGATTAAATGAATTAATTCATGCAAGTTGTTTAGAACATTTTATGGCATGTATAAAGTACTAAATTGATTCTACTTACTGTCAGTTGAGAGATTAGACTGTAGATTGGTAAAGTGACTTCTTTTTTTTTTTAAGATTTTATTTATTTATTTGACAGAGAGAGAGAGATCACAAGTAGGCAGAGAGGCAGGCAGAGAGAGCGGGGGAAGCAGCCTCCCTGCTGAGCAGAGAGCACGATGTGGAGCTCGATCCCAGGACCCTGGGATCATGACCTGAGCTGAAGGCAGAGGCTTAACCCACTGAGCCACCCAGGTGCCCCTGGTAAAGTGATTTCTGTCAGTCCCTTTATAAGAGAGACTAGTAAATTCCCAATTCCAGCTGCTTAATCCCAACACATATCACCACCTGAAAGCCTCCCTCCTGGTCACCTTAACCTTCTTGGCTGCAAGACGACTGCTCCACAGAGAGGCCAGAACCCAGACTTACATGCAGCTGGGGGATGAGGAGGTGCAGGACAGAGAGGCCATACTGGTAAACCACAAACTCTCTGGCAGAAAGGTCTGTGGGTTGCACAGTGATAAGCTCTTCCTTCTGCATTATCTGAGGTTTTGGGACATCCTTTTTGGGGGCTTTTGGGGGCTATAGAAATCAAGAGAAAACAGCAACGATTTCACTGACTTTTCTGTCCAGTAACGATTCTTAATAAAAGCAACAAGAACAACACTATTCAACTTAGAAAAGGTGTAATTGCTTTGATCATCCATTCATCCACCCACCCATCCAAACAAACATCCACCCACCCACCCACCCACCCATCCACCCACCCACCCAACCACCCACCCATCCACCCATCTCCATCCACCCACCCACCCATCCACCCGTCCACCCACCCAACCACCCACCCATCCACCCATCCATCCATCTGTCCACCCAACCATCCACCCAACCATCCACCCACCCATCCACCCACCCACCCATCCATCCATCCACCCAACCATCCACCCACCTCCATCCACCCAACCATCCACGCACTCATCCACCCACCCATCCACCCATCCATCCACCCATCCATCCATGCTATCTATATGCACTGTGCCTCAGATCCTCCCATCCATTTTCATGAAAAAGCAACTCAGTAAATAGGAACAAAAGTGCCTGAACCAAAAACAAAACAAAACAAAACAAAAAAACCACCAAGGATCTGGAAAAGATGGCAACAATTTTCTTCTACTATTTCATAGGGTTGTTTGGAGCACTAAATGTAATGTCCTCAGAACTGTGTCTGGCCCAGGGTAAGCACTCAGTAAACATTATCTGGATTAACATCACAATCTTCCTTCCTCACAGAATTCTCTCTAATGGGCCTTAGGTCTTTAAACATACTGTATTTGTCTTTTTATTCTTGAGAAGACAATGAGAAAAGCTTGGGTAGCATGGTGTGGGAAACAATGCTGAACTTGCAGCCAGAGACCTGGGTTCTGGTCCAGGTCCTGGGACACTCCAGGAAAGATACTAAACTTCTTTGAGCATCAGCTCTCTCACCTATAAAAAAGTAAGTGAGGGGCGCCTGGGTGGCTCGGTGGGTTGGGCCTCTGCCTTCAGCTCAGGTCGTGACCTCGGGGTCTTGGGATCGAGCCCCACCTTGGGTTCTCTGCTCTGCGGGGAGCCTACTTCCCCCTCTCTCTCTGCCTACCTCTCTGCCTACTTGTGATCTCTCTCTCTCCGTCAAATAAACAAATAAAATCTTTAAAAAAAAAAAAGGAAGTGAATAATCTTTTGCAATCTTACAGAGTTAGAGTTTGGGTGACCAGGCATAAACATGGCAGTGTATATAAAATTGCTTTCTTTTTCTGTTTTAAAGATTTTTATTTATTTATTTGAGAGCGAGCACGTGTGCACAAGCAAGGGGAGGGACAGAGGGAGAGAGAAACAGACTCCCTGCGAAGCAGGGAGCCTGATGTGGGGCTTGATCCCAGGACCACCGGATCATGACATGAGTCAAAGGCAGATGCTTAACCGACTAATCCACCCAGGTGCCCCAAAATTACTTTCAACATTATAAAGTCAATACCGTTGTAAGACGATGGAGGTTGAAGTGGTGGTGAGAACCCACTTTCTGCCCATACTCTTCCTAGTTTCCCCCAAAGGGACGCCCAATTAATACTACAATTGGTTAAGTTCTGGGGTCAGCAAAACTTTGTCTGTAAAGGATCAGAAAGTAAATATTTGAGGCTTTGCCAGCTGAGAGGCAAAATTGGGGTTCAAATTCAGCTGTCCCACCTTCACAGTAGAAGCGTGGTCTCACTCCCCCTCAGGGCCTTCCCTTCTTGCTTCTCTGAAACACAGTGATCTGGGTTCCTCCTGGGAACTCACCACAAGAGCCTGCATCCCCCTTTAGGGACTGCCCTTACGGTGCTGGGTCATTTTTCATATGGGTGAGCAGGTTAAGGGCACAGACTCTGGGACTGGATTCCAGCTGAACTCCTTGCTATCAGCATGATTTCTGACTACTTGTTTGACCTAGTCAGATGCTTCAGTTTCTCTATGAGTAAAAGTACCTACTTTACTGTGTTGTTATAAAGATTGAAGAGCTGATGTGTCCAACGTCTGAGAATAGCACACGGCAGAGTGCAAAGCGCTCTGCAAGAATGTCACTCTTCTTTTGAATCCCCTCCCCCCAACCAATAACTTACAAATGGAAAACTCTGCTTAGCTTGTGGGCCACATAGAAACAGCTCACTGGAGGTGGACTGTGGGCCACAGTTGGCTGACCTTTGGTCAAATTCAAGGATGATTATGGAATTGTACTGCTAGTGGCCTGCACTGCGGTCAACTGAAAGGCACACATTGTTTCCTTTTCATCCTCTTCCACTTGGCAGGTAAGTGGGTTGAAACAGATGTGAATCTTCAGGGCAAGGCCAGCCACATCCTTGCTTGAGTTCTACTGTCAAGGGGTGGTATTGGGAAAGTGATCTGGAGTCCCTTTTTGGGGCGCGGGCTTCCTATTCTTTATCTCCTCAGCCTATCTCCTTCTGTCTCACCCTCTTCTATTAAGTCCTTGTAACACGTGGCTGGCCAGTACGGAGTAAAATCCCGAGATTTAGATTCAGTGTTCAGTGAGAAGACGGAGGTCTTTAGGACTTCCCCTTTGAAATTGGCTAAGTTATTTTTGCAGTGAGACTTTGATTCCTATTTCTTATTCCTTAATGGAAAGGGCCCTTGGGAATCTTAGGCTGGGGGTGGGCAGAAAGGAATGACTGGTAGATCCAGATTCTGACATTCCCAGTGCCCATCGGTCACACCATCAAATGCCTTCAGTGCGCCATGATAGCTCCAAAAGGGGCTGCAGGGAAAGGAGGTTACCTAGCTGGTGATGCATCTGTCCCTGTAGTTCAGCTTCCTCCTTGCGGGCTTGGGACCAGATGTCTACTTTCTTCAGGGTAGAAAGGAGTGGTGAGGTCCACATGATGTCAGCTTTATCTGCATCTGAACAGAGAAGAAGATAGTTGTTGGAGTAAGGGCCCCTTGGGCCCAGGGCTGTGGCTAAAGTAAGAAGAGCCAGAGGTACTGTCAGATGTCACAAGGGGCTGGTAAGACAGCCCCAGGGTCCTCTGATGTGTATCCACGCCCTGTATCGTCCCCTCTCCTTGAGAGTGGGTTGCATCTAGTAACTGATTTCTAATGAACAGCATATGGTACAGGTAATGAGATAAGGATACAACAAGACTGTTCCTTCCATTTTTCTTCGTCCCTTCTCACTTGCTCTGAAGGAACCGGCTGCCATGTTTTGAGCTCCTCCGTGAAGTCCACAGTCAGCAAGAACTGAGGTCTCTGGCCAACAACCACAGGACAGGACTTTGATTCCCCAGGCAAACCTTGAAGTGACAGCAGCCTTAGCCCAATACCTCGGTGGAGCCTGTAGGAGACCCTGAGCCACAGGCACCCTGAGCCACAGGCACCCCGCTCCACCAAGCAGTACCACATTCCTGACCTGCACAAACTGAGATAATCAGTTTGTTGGTTTAAGCCACAGAATTTTCAGGTAGTTTGTTACATAGCAATAGAAAATGAGTACGATGAGTTTCTCTATGTTCTACCTGAAGAAGCTTCCATGGCCACACTCTATAGAGCTGGCAGCCCTGATCATAGTCTTAGAACTTATCAAACATGATCAGCATTGGCGGCATCAGAGAATGCCGGGCTGGTGACCAGCCTTACCTGTTGCTGGTCCCTGATCCTCCAGGCCTGGGCCACGGCCTTGAGCTCCCTCTAGCACTGCAGTGACGCTCTTCAGGAAGGGGATCAGGAGCGGGCAAGCAGCAGCCGGGTCCCTGAGAGAAGGGGTGATCATTCCATAGAATCTGTCTCCAGGGTAATTCTCCAAACATGCAGGGGAGCCTGAGGCAACGATCTAGGACAAAATAGAACTTGGTTCCACATGTGGCTCCCATCTCTCCCACATGGCTGCTTTGGGAGCTTCCCTCCGAAGCCCCCACTGAACTGGACATGCAGATCTCCGTGGCCACGTCCAAGGCCGTACCTGGGTGTGAAAGAGGTGGAGGCGGCTCAGCTCCCGCTGGTACTGCAGGAGGCCGAGGGCCCTATCCAGAAAGTTCTGTCTGTGCCTTACCACCTCCTGACACTCCTCAGAGAGATGCTCAGCCACCTAGAGCACAGGAAGTGAAAGGCCCATATGAAAAGGGAGCTTCTGTCTCTCTTCCTGCTCCCCTCCCAGCCTATGCGCTGCCCCTTGGGCCCATTTATTCCCTACTGTCACGCTGCCCTGAAGAACCACACTGACAACATGGGAGCACATGCTCCTCCCGCGTGGGTCTGCTTATCAGCCTCCACACCTCACCTTCCAGGGACGGTTCCAGACGTGCGGGCTCGGACTCCGATGCTGCTGCAGCCACATCTCCTGCTCCCGGCCCCGCAGCCGGCCGCCTGCCTGCCTGAGCTTCTCTGCTGTCTGTGCTAAAGTCTGCAGGACTTTCTGCACGCCTAGCATCATCTGTGCCTCCTGCTCCCACTCCTCTCTGTCTGCTGCAAGGGGCAGAGAAAAGGGCCATGTGAGAGCAGCCACCCTGGGGGAGAGGGAGAAGAAGAAAAGACACGGTTTATTGGGGACGGAGCCCGGTGGGGCGGGCGAGCCTGGCTGGGGAGCGTTCAGAGGGACGGATGGACTCCCCACCAGGCAGCTGTGGGAGGCGTCCCCACTCCCGGGAGATTTCTGCTCTGGGGATCTGGGCCCCACCTTGAGAGAGCAGGCCCCGCTCCGGGCCGCGCGGGGTGCTCAGGGCCCTGGCTCGCCTCTCAGTCTCCTGCAGGCGCCTGGCCTCCAGCGCTGCCAGAGCCTCCTCAGCAGCCCCCAGCTGCACAGGACGAAAACACAAAGGAAGGCAGGAGCCTTGGGCTGGGCCGCCTCAGGGCAATCCTTCCTCCTCCACCCTGAGACACTCTGGGATGACCAGAGTCTAGGGCCTGGAGCCAGGTGTCTGCCCTGAGACAGGTCCCACTTCTGCAGTCAGCGGGGGAGACCAAGGGTCTGCACTTACAGGAGACGCCTGTGCGGCCTGGCGGGGGGGGTGGTGGGGGGAGTGGGGGGGGCGGTGAGGTGGGGCCTCTGGGCCTCACCTGCCGCTGGGCGTCTTTGCCTGGAGCGGAGAGCAGCTCGACACTCAGCTGCCCCAGGCGTTCGGCTAGACGCAGCTCTTCCTGCTCCTGGCGCCGCCAGTACTGCTCCCGGGCTCTCAGCTCCTTCTCCAGGGTGTCCAGCTGCAACGGCCAGCTGGTTTGCGGCTCCTACACTTCTCTCACAGCCTGGGGACTCATCAAAGGTCCCCAGGGCCTCTCCTCTAGACAGGGGCCTCCCTCACCCTTGGGCGTCCGGGACTACGCTGGTGAGACTGTTGGCTTGATCGTAATAACCGTACCCCAGCCTCCAGACCGCAGCCCCCTTCTCCCTCCCTCTAAAGCCCGGCCTCTGTGGAGCCACCTGGCCCCCTGCCCCCACCTTCCTCTTGGGAGGCCAGGGCAGGGGGGCGTGCGGCAGCGGGAAGCTGTTCTCATCCCCTCATCTCACCCCTTCAGACGCCTCTGTGAAACTGTGAGTCAGGGCTAGAATTAAAGTGTCTTGGCTCCTAACGAGAATCTCTTACAACACATCCATCTTTGTTCCTGAAATGAACCCGGCCGAGAATGTATGGGAGGACCCGAAGTCATTTCCATTTCCATGGAGACCTGCCAAGGGCTGAATTATTGCAATAACCTTCTGACAGGCCTTCCTTCTCCAGGCTGGCCCTGCTCCCATCCATCCTCTGCACGGCTGCCAGAGAGAACTTTCTAGAATGCTGACGACATATTCACATGCGCACACACAAAAATGTCTGGAAGGAGATGTGCCAACCTGTTAATAGTGGCTGCATTTGGTGGGAGACTGGGGGCGAGGTGAGTGGTGTCTGGATGGGGGGCTGCTGACGGCAGATGGGTGAGAGCGATGGGAAGGAGGGACCTTGTGCTTCTTCATTTACATACGTTAAAACATGTAGGATTATAAGTAACTTATTTTCTTTTTGTATTGTGCCAAGTTTTCCAAATTTAAGAGTCTTTAAAATATTCGTATCTGATCATATCACATGTCTACTTAGAATCCTTCAGTGGCTCCCCATGGCTTTCATGGTAAGCCACATTTCCGGGCCTCAGCCAGGCACCCGAAGCTGTTCGTGACTGGTTTCCTGCCTTCCTTGTTGGCCACCCTTCACCCTTCCAGAACGCCGTGGTCTCACGCTCCCCACCTTTGGGCTTGCTGGCCCCCCGAGGCGTCTTCTGACTCAGCCCAGGTGTTACCTCTTTAGGGAAGCCTTCCTTGAGCTCTCCTGCATGTGATTTGGACGTCCCTCCCCTGTGCTCCCTTAACACCCTTATAAACCATGATCCCGGTTGGAATCCATGGCCGACAGGAGCCCCGTCTAGTTCTTCTGCATCTCAACACCTAACACAGTGCCCGGAACCTAGAGGGTACTCAGTGCACAGCTGCTGGATGAATTGGGAAAAGGAACAGAATGAATGGCTTCTACGAACCAGACCAGGGTCTCTCACTCCCCGAGGCAGGGCCTCCAGCCCTTGGACGATGGGCACCACCAGTCCTGTAGAAGGGTCTGTCTGAGCACCAATGACAGGACCAGGTTCCCCGGTGAAGGGGTCTGTGGCCTGAGCCCCAATTGAGATTGGGATAAGACCTGTGGGAAAGCAAGAGGGAAAGAAGAAAGGGGTGGTCATGGAAAGATGTAAACATGGTAGGAAGGGAGCCAAAGGACCCCTGAGAACCCCTTTTGCTCTTTGAGGGGTTCTGAGCTGGATTGGAGGGCTTCTCGGAGGCCACTGACCCTGAGGGTGAGGTTCTGAAGTGCTGGTTTTTGAAAGGACCCACTTTTCTCAATGGGGGATAAATGACCTGTGGTCCTCGGATTCTGGAATCTCAGCAGCCCTAGTGGAGGTGTCAGAAGGACCCCATCCTATGGCTCATGAGTAAATGGACTGGGGATAACCCTCCTGGAAAGCACTTTCCAGGGCTTTCTCACCCAGGGGTAAGTCACATCCCTGATCCCCCTGGGGCTTTCACAGGTCCCCAGTTCCCTCCTACCTTTACCATCAGCATCTTCCATTGAACCTGCCAGGGGTGTGGCATCACCTGAATTCCCATCAGTCTCCATGCCCAGGATGGGCACCATGAGCCCTGAGCCCTCAGGGTCTGGGATCTCCATCCCGTATAGGACCGGAACCCACAGCTCTGTCCCAGGGTAGCACATCATCCCTAATACAAGGGGGAGTTAGCAGAGAGAAGGGTGGTTGAAGGCTAAGTGCCAGGCTCAAAGGGCTAATCCCTGACCTGAGAGGCTTCCCTGCAAAGACTGCATTTGTTTCCTCTGGGGCCTCGCTTGGCCTTTTGAATTCAGGAGGAAGGTACTGAGTGGCCTTGGGACCTCTGGGAGACTGAGAACAATTTCTAGGCCACACTAAAAAGGTAAAAAGAAAAGTATCAAATATTCGAGCACCCACCATGTACCAAAAGTCCGAGCTTGGGAACTCCTTACAAATTACATTTTATTTGGCCCTACAATGGAACCTAAAGTATATACTGTTTTTATCCTCATTTTAAAGATGTTAAAACAGAATGAAGTCTAGTAACTTGCCCAACGTCTAAGAGTCATTAAATAGTGGGACAGGGCTTCAAACTCGAATCAGTTCTGACCCCAAACCCTGGTTCTTTTTTGTCACATTATGGGCAGAAGCTTCTAGAGAGAATGACTGAGGTAAGCTCCAGGAAGGTGCCCCTCCTACTTCCTCTCCTCGCCCGTCCTTGTATTAGTGGAGGTGTAAAACGGGTTTCATAACACGTTACGATGTTGGGGACGCTCTGAAATAACAGGAGAACATATACTTCACGATCGTGACGTGTAAGACCCAGCAGGATTGGCAAGAGAACAGAGTTCAAGCCGAGCATTCACGGGGTTGGGCATGAAGCCACCACACTCCTCCTCTCTTCCCTCTGTTCCGTGTGTGTGCGCGCGTGTGTGTGACCAGTGGGGCTGCAGTCCTGTCCCTGAGCTTATGAGCTGAGGGTACAGAGGCACCAGGTCATTCAGGGCTTGGGATGCCAGGGGCCCAAGAGCCCAGGTCTCAGTCAGTAGGTACCTATCCTCCCGCCGCTGGCCATGATGGCCTCTGCTGTCCCCAGCTGCCGCTCCAGTCTCCGAGCCTGCTGCAGGGCATGGTGCAGACTCAAGCCCAGTGCCTGTCTCATGTCCTTGATGGCAGCCTCCAGAAGCCCCTGTGTCCTTGACCCCGGCCTCTCCCGGAAGCTCTGGAGCATGGCAACCACTCATCTCTGGGCCACCAACACGTTGGCGTCCAGCAGGGCCTGTGATCCTCCCATGTGGGGCACTGTCTGGCCCTCCCGCCCAGAAGCTCCCTGCAGCCGGACCGTCTTCCTGCTCAGAGGCTCCTCGAAGCAGTCACCAGGCAGCATAAGGCTCCCCGAGGCGTCTTGCAGCCCCCCCAGGGCAAGCACCTGACCTGGCAGCGGAACCCAAGAGGGTGAGGTAGGAAGGGGCTGAACAGAGATGCAGGGAGATGACGCATAAAGGAGGAGGAGGGCCTGCGGACCGGGTGAGCGCAGGGGTGGGGGACCGGAAGTGAGGGGAAGGGGACAGGGAAGCCAGGACCGAGGACGCAGGTGGGGTAAGAGCAGAGTGGGGATAAAGAATGGAAAGGTGGCTTTGGGGTGATTTGCAGCCTGGACCAAAATATGGGGGGTGTAAGGGACTGGGGGGATGGAAAAGCCAGGCTGGGCAGAGAGGAGGGCGGGGGAGCCCAGCACTGGGACGGTGGATACCTGTGTTTTCATCCAACCCGACTCCCAGGATTGGCGAGATGCTTCCCGTGACTGGGTCCTCCATGGGGCCCCCCAACTCGAGGGGGGCCAGGGTCTTGGTGAGAGGATTGCAGTATGTGCCCCCAAGAGTGAGCCACTGCCTGGTTTGAGGATGAAGAGTCACAGCCAGCACGGGCACCTCGATGCCGGTTGTGGGGTCTGTCATGAGTGCCCCTAGCTGTGACGTCCGTCTGGGCTGCAGGATGGGCAGGTGGGTGGCGGGAGGGGAGCCTGTGGCGGGGCAGGTTGGGTAGGGCACATAGGGGAGGACGGCAGCTTCTGACGTTCGGATGCCGCCTGGATGGGGAGAGACAAGGAGACGGGGACAGGGAGTGTTAGCACTGTTGGTCCGTCAGCCTCCCACCTGGCCCCGCAGAGCCTTCTTGTACCCAGCGGCTCTCCCAGGCCTCACCCTCTGCAGCAAGAATGTTAAAGTGAGGAGGGGGAGGAGGTGTTTGCTGCTCTGCTCGTCATCATACCCCACAGTGCAAGGACAGAGCCCTGCTCCCTGCCTTGTGCTCCCGGGGAGATCCTCCCAGAGGATCCCAGCAGACCCGGGCAGGGCGGGAGCTCCTTCGTGGTCAGGGTCTCACCGGAACTGAAGTCAGTGGTGGGCACCAGGGTAGCTCCCTGCAGATCGTACCCCAGATTTCCAGCCTCAGGCAGCACCTTCCCAGTGTCGGGGTGGATGAAGTAGCCAGGGGGTACAGATCCTGCATGGCCACTGGCTGGAAGCATTGCACAGTTGGGGCCGGGGACCATCAGCTTGGTGAAGGGATTCACGCTGATGTCCGGGGTGCCCCCCCCCCCCGAGAGTCTGCTGAGGCTGCTGGAAAGCAAATGATGGCTCAGTTCTGCATGTGAGGTGGACGGGCCAGGTTAGGGGCTCCCTGGGCTGGTGCCTGGAAGGAGCTGGAAGAACCCCAGCCCAACCCCAGTAGCAAGTGCTCCCTGAGGGCAGAGCATCTTGTCTTTTGCTGAGCGAAGGGCTTGATCCCCCTGCAAGACATGACATTGTGATATCATGATACTACAGGCTGGGAGGGACTGGAAAGACTTTGGGAAAAAGTGGTGACAGCCTATCAGTCACCTGATGGGGCTGGGGGCTCCGTGTACTCAGAATTCCCACAGAGAACCCAAGGGGATCCTTCTCTCACTCTTCATTTCCAGGCAAGTCCAGCATTCTCCAAATTTTGCACTCATCCGTTGGGCTTTTACTCTCAGAAAATGTTCCCTTAGGTATAAAGCCATGCTTCGGGGCAGTTTGGCTTGGGTCCTCCCCCGTTCTTTCCATTTCGCAGGCTCCCTCTTCAGCAACACAGCTGTTGGCCCACACACTGCCCAGGAAGGCCCTCCCAGCTTTGGGGGTTTCCACTTTGCTCTGTCCTTCTCCTCCCCTGCAGGGTGTCCTAGGGGAGGGGCCAAGTTTCTGCGGGCCCCAGTGGACCTGAACTCTGCAGGGCCAGGTTTGGGGGGGGCGGCGAGGGGGAGCAGAACCCACCTGGCCGCAGCAGCTCCGCCCCAGTGCCGGAACCCAGGACCCCCCAGGCCTTCAGGCGGTGGCTCTCCTGCAGCACAGCCTGGGACAGGCGGCTCAGCGCCGCATCCAGCGGGGGCGCTTCCCTGCGCGGGGCCGGGGGGGCACGGAGGAGGCGGGATCAGGGCCATGCGGTGAGGCATGGGGAAAGGACCCTCTGCTGTGGCCCGTTCTGGACCTGGGGAAGCCACACTCGCTCCTCCCCTAGGCCACAGGTCAGCAAGCCTGACTCAGAGGCACCGGCTACACACCCTTCTGGGTTCGGCCGGGTCCGGGAGGACTTCGCGGGCCCGGAGCCCTCCTGGACCTTCAGCAGCCGCCGCGCCGCCATCAGCTCGGAGCAGAAAGACGCCCACTGCTCCTGCCGGGCCCCGAGGTCTTGGCGGAGGAGCCTCAGCTGGTGACTGAGGCTGGCCGCGTACTGGCCCGCCAGACGCCCCCTGCGCCCGGCCTCCTCCTCCGCGGCGCTGGCAGCGGCCTCAGCAGCCTGGGGTCAGAGACAGCGCTGCCTGCCCGCCCGCCCGCGGGGCTGCAGACGCCCGACCGCCAGCAGCAGCCCAGGGGCCGGGCACCCCGCGAGCCCCGGCAGGGAGCTCCAGAACATTCTGCGCAGGCCCGGCAGCAGCGGCAAGGGGATGAGAAATCCCCGGGGGTGGGGGCAGTGCCCAGGAGCCCTGGGGCCTGGGAGATGGGACGGTGGGAGAGGGGCCACGGGGGGCGGGGTGGGGGTGCCGGGCTCGGGGGCCCCCGGGAGCCCCATTTAGGCACAGGGACCAGGTCGGAAGGTGTGAACTCAGCCCGACCTGTTGCAGCTCCCTCGGGGGACTCCCCAGACGCTGGCCCGCAGAGGCCGGGGTGCGACGCTCAGCCCCCCACAGCTGCCGCAGAGAACGGGCTTCACTCACGAGTCTGAGCCAGAGGAGTTTGAGCTGCGGGAGAGCGCGGCGTGCACCTGTGACCGCGCGCCGCGGCCTCGCGGCCCCACTCGTTGCTTTGATCACAGCGCCCTCTGCTGCCCGTCGGTGGAGGGACGCCCCAGCGCCCCAGCCCCCTGACCCAGCTTCCGTACTTGGACTTCTAGTGTGTGTGTGTGGTTCCCCCCCCCCCGCCCCCCGCCCCCCGCCCCCCGCCCCCAACGCCTGTCACCTACTGGCCTGAATTTATACATTCCAGTGGGGCTACTGAGGAGCAGGAATGGGGATCTGAAGACTCCAGATTTCCTATCACCGATGTGAGGTCCAAAGTTCTGAAAATTAGCCCTAAATTTAATCTGAAATCTTCTATCCCCCCTCCCATATACTTTCCTTTCCCCCTGATTCTCATGAATAGATGAAGGATTTCTTTAGGTTCTCTATCCTGTAACCAGCTGCGTTTTGCGATGAACCCGTTTCCAACCCCGTTCACTTCTCCAGCTTCTCCACTTACCTCTTCCTTAGTCTGGCTGAGTTTTGTTGTCACTGACAGAGACTGTCTGAGCAGGGCTGCAAAGAAGCATTCTGGGTCAAACCACTCCAGGTCTACCTGCTCCTCCGCCTCCCAGTGCCCACCTGTAAAGGGGAGGGAAGCAGGATTAGCCTCCCGAAATGCAAAGATAAGCCTCCCTGCTGATCTTCCCTGATCCTTCTTCCTGCGGATCAATGGTCAAGACACAGTCTTGCTTGTAACAGCCCTGATGAGGACCTCATTAGAAACACAGAATTCTAGATTCTACCTCTGACCCATTGCAGAAGGTCCCCACGTAATTCACCATCACATTTAAGTTGGGGTGCTCTTATCTGAGGAGTGTACTTTGAGTGGCAAGGGTAGAAGCTGAAATACTTGGTGTGACACAGGAGTGCCTTCTGGGAGCTGCTCCTCTAGCTAGTGCTGGACATCTCCTGACTCGGGCACTTTGTACATGGTTATATTACTTTTCTTTTGGAAAGTTCTTTTTTTTTTTTTTTTTTTAAGATTTTACTTATTTATTTGAAAGAGAGCATGAGCAGGGGGAGAGGTAGATGGAGAGGGAGAGGCAGACTTCCCCACTGAGTAGGGAGCCCGATTCGGGGCTTGATCTTAAGACCCTGGGATCACGACCTGAGCCAAACCTGAGCTTAACTGACTGAACCACCCAGGTGCCCCTTGAAAAGTTTTTATTTAGATGTCTCTATCCCCCTCAGCATGTACTTCTAGAACCAGGCAGTGTCTGGCATACAGTGGCCGTCCAATAAATATTTACTGAACAAATGAATAAATGAATGTGGGAGAATAGAACCATGAGTAATCTGGGAACATGAGAAAGGGAAGCGGGGGGTGGCCAGTTGGATTTGGGGACCCCTCTGGGATTCTAACCTGAGTCTGTCACTCACCGTGATCTCCCTCAACCCTGGGGGTATCAGAATCTTGGTGTGATTGACCTCTCCTCACTGACGTCATCCCAGGTCTTGGGGAGGTGTAGGCATCCAGGTTGTATCCTTGCTGATGCTTCCGGAAGGTTGGGTTGGGAGTGGCCTTCCGGGCCCAGCTCAGGCTGTGACACTGAATCTACACAGTACATAATGTGGCGATGTGAGGGACAGGGGGAAGCATCTTCTCTGAAGACCAACCGGAGGAAGAGCCCTGCTCAGCTGAAGAGAGGGAGAACCTTGTCTTCTTGTTTGGACCATTCCCACTGCCTATCTATTTGTGCCCCCACCCTCCATCCATCATTTCTTCTACCCTATTTCTAGAGTAAAAATAAAATTCTTACCAGGGTTTCTCTCTCTTGCTTGAAAGTTTTTTGTTTTGTTTTGCTCAAAGGTTTTATTTATTTGTTTTTTAAGATTTTGTTTATTTATTTGGCAGAGAGACAGTGAGAGAGGGAACACAAGCAGGGGGAGTGGGAGAGGGAGAATCAGGCTCCTTGCTGAGCAGGGAGCCCCTTGTGTGGCTCGATCCCAGAACTCTGGGATCATGACCTGAGCTGAAGGCAGACGCTTAACGACTGTGCCACCCAGGTGCCCTTGCTCAAAGGTTTTAATGGATCCCTCACTGCATAGAGGATAAAGCGGGGCCCATGGGATCATAGTGATTTTGTCTCTCAGCTCTGTGTCTGCACCCCCATATTTGGTTCCCTGAGCAGGTGAATGCTGTTTCATGCCTCCGTACCCTTACACATAGTACCCCCATCTCATCCGCACCCTCCTCCCAAGCCCAGTACCTCCCAGCCCCCAACTCGCCAACCCCTTCGTTAGTACAGGGGACACATGCCCCCACGGCTCATATCTCAGACCTCTTTCGGGATCACCTCTTCACAGAAGTCTGTCCTGACTCACCCAGGAGGGGCAGTCAGCTCCTTCCTGGTGCAGCCGGACACCCTGGACAAGCTTTTGCCAGAGTTCCCTAATGTTGCCGGATGTTTGTTTGTTTCCTTGTCTATATTCTGCCTGCTGAGCTTTGATCACTGGAGGCCTGAGGCTGTACCTTTGTCACTTTCGCATCTTAGCAACTATTGTAATACCTGCTGCAGACGGGTACGGGACAGCCCATTCACACGGGTTTGGAGAGGCGGTCTTGCATGGAGGTTAAGATGTCCCTTATCTGGCTTTACTCACCAACAGAAGCAGGCAGAACCCCAGCAGCAGGACCATCTCCCCCAGGACTTCTGGCCAGTCAGACCTCTTCGGGGGCCTGGGGATCTTGGCGATGCCAGTTTGGATGAGATACCTGGGAGTCGTGGAGGCAAAGGGCCCTTCTCCAAAGCACCGGCCCCCGGGCGGCAGGGTGCGGAGGTACTGGGGGGAAAGAAATCTGTTCAGCCTTTCTCCCACGGTCCGCCACAGACTGGCAAAGGGACAGAGTGGGACCCTAGGCCTGTCGGCACGAACCAAATAGCCCAGACCTTTGTGCACACCTTGGGGGAGCAGAATCTGGGTTTTCCCCAGGGAAACAAATTCACATCGAGTAACAGAGCAGCTGTATGCCTGTTCTGGGGCGAGGTCGGCACAGCATCCTCGAAGCTGTGCAGGTGGGGTGAGGAGCTAAATTCTGTGTGTGACCCAGACACTGCACCTGGGTCAGTGGAGGCATCACAAGCAGGTCGAATGGATACAAGCCTGTGCAGATGACCTTCGGGTGTGAGCCTTCAAGGTGAGAGAGGGGGTGGGGCAAAAGCGGGTAATGAAGCAGAGGACCATGAGCGATGTCCAGACACCATGAGGTCCTTAGACACACCTGCTATTTTTACCCCCACGATCTTCCCTTCTCTATACACCACATGTTGGAGGGAACCCTAGAAACCCCCAGAACTATCTGTTAGGAGTGTGGGAGCCCGAAACTTTGATAGGGATGCCCTGAGTGTCTCCCTCCCTGGGGTTCTGTCTGGGATGGTTATGAGGCAGTGTTGTCTAAGGCGAGGGGACATGATGGGCGGGTGTGTTGAATGAGGCCAACCGTCACAGACAAACCATCTTCCGATGCTTGTTGCTGCTCAGACGGAAGACATACACCCCAGGCTGCTGAAACTGCTGCAGGAAAAGGTAGGGCTCTCGATCGTGGAGCTGGGACTCCTCAGGGAGGGCCCGGAAGCGTCCCCAGTCAAATCCCGGCAGTGTGTTATAGAAGTGGCCCCTGGGGACAGAGAAAGGAGGGGTGTGTTGTCTCCTGTGGGTGCCCACAGGCACCGGGGTGTCTTTTGTCCAGTGTCTCGATGGTGGCAGGCCATGTCCTCTGGCCACTCACAGGTCATACTCTGGGTAATGCTCATGGGTCACCAGGAAGGCAAGCGTATCATTGACTTGGAGGCAGACTGTGGGGTTGCGGATGCCAGGCTCTGGGGGCAACAGATGCCCACGGCGCGTGGAGTTGGGGCTCACTGACCAAGGGGAGGTCAGATGTCCTTCGCTCGACTTTCCTGGGCAAGCGAGATACAGAACATGAGGAACAGAGACCTTTAGACAGATTCTTGCTGGTGGCGGTGGGAGAGGAGAGACAACAGCTGTCCCCCATGCTCACCGGCGTCGTGGCCTGGGGCCCTGGGGTCCCTGAAGAGCAGGCCAAGGGCGTGCAGCAGCTTGTGACCTGGTCTGATCAGGCCCAGGAACCCAAAGCCTGGAACAAGACAGGGATCTCCCTCAACCGGCAGGGGCCTGGGAGAGAGATTTCCCTAGTGCATGGACGCAGCAGAAGCTGTCCGTTTCTGATTTGCACATGATGGGATTCAACTTTCTAAAAATCGACGGGTCCCTTCATGGGGCTCCGCCCATCACCATCTAGCTTCTGCCTGAAGAGGCCACGCTCATGCCACGGAAAGGTCCAGGCTTTCCCATGTGTGGTCCTGAGCGGTGGGTCCACCTGTGGCTTCCCTCTGTCCCGCTGTCTTACCATCCATCCTGACCACATACAGAGGGACAGGCTTATGCCCTTGGTCTGAGTTGCAGGGATGGCCTACGGCACGTGGTGAGGAAGGCCTGTCCAGAAGGTAGAATTCCTGGGAAAGAAGAGGTCCAGGGTCAGCTCTTTCCCTTAAGACATGGTGAGTAACACATCTGCCCCGCAGGGAGGTGGAGAGAGCATGGGGCTTCCCTTGAGCCCTGTCTGAGTGTCCTGGTAAGGATTCAGGGGAGTGGTGGTACCTGTCGTCTAAGAACTTCACAGGGAGGGGTAACCAGGAGTCATAACTC